GTATTAGGCCACTAGCAAGAAATATTGTTTGAGTTTCGGATGCATTGTCTGGAGGGGCAGCTGTAGATTTGTAAATGTAGAAATAGGTCCTCAAGCCATCTCTTTGTGCCAGTACCGTCTGTGGGCAAGAAGAGGGCCTACGGAGACAATTACAGTGGGCCCCGGTGTAAGTAAAGTTTAAAAGTTAAGCAGATCGTTTATGCACTGTTCATTTTTTATGACTAAGAGACTGTAAACCCTGACGTCCTGAGTGTGTAAAGCTTGTGCTGCTAGTCATCAGAAGAAGGGAAATCCTCCTTGTTGGTGAAGACTAGCTGCACAAGTTGGCGTTTGAGTCAATGCAGTAACTCAGAGCGGTTTCTAACTTGTATGAGGTGTAATACATTTTGTGATGTTAGTAGAATGTGTTCTGTCCTTTTCAAAATTGTCTTGATCATTTTTAAGGCACTAGACAAGTCATGTAGATAGCATTCTTTGTCCCTCAATTTTTAAAATAACGCCCCCTGCAAATGATGGACATTCTATTACATTAGCAAGTGTTGCAGCCTGTGAAAATATTTTTTATTTATTTTTAAATCTGAAGGCTAGCACTTAATTTTTTTTCAATGGTTTCAAGGTACTGCTAAATTCTATTTTTTAAGTGCCCTATTACATCAGGATAATTAATCTGTAACTAATTACAAGTGGGTAAGAGAGCATTTGAGAGATTAACCTTTTAAAAACCCAGATCTTGACCATGTGAGTCCTTACAAACCAGGTTATATCAAATTTGTATTATGTGATGGAGAAGTTACATGCAGCTTATAGGCCTGGTAATAGGATGAGCTCATTCATTTTACTTGTACCTTTCCCTGTTTTGGCTATTGCTTTTCAGGCTCTAAAAATTATTTAACTGTTTATTAGGTACAGGATGGAACTGGGTGGCTTTATCTTAGCTAACCAATAATGAAATATAGAAGGAAAGGGAGAAGGCCCATCAGTGTGAAAAATGTTCAGCCACAATATTTTAGAAGAAAAAAATCATGCTAAAAAAAAAAAGTAGGTCAGGCTTATACTTATGCTTAGCCTTAAAAATCATGCTGGCCCGATTGCTGATGACTTTTTATTTAAGTATCCATACTCTGTATGAATGATCACATCAAAGGTAAGAGGTATTGGCACACGTGAATTTTACCTGTCTAAATATTATCCAAACAACCAATATTTCTTACTTTGTCATTATAACCATAGGTCATGGACACTGTTTTAAATAATTTAGATTGTAAGTAGAACATTGGGGGCGGGCGGTTGTTTTTTTTAAAGAACGGTTAATTTTCCTTATAAAAGCTTTGTAGCACCTGACATTGTTTCTATGGCAAGTGTGGAGATTAAGAATAATTTCACTTATCCTTTAAGCATAAGATTTCATCTGTTTCTCACAAGTTGCTCCTCTTAAGTGACACAGCCCAAGAAGAAACCACTAGTGCCCAATATTAAAATAATATTTCCTACTTCAATTCAGGGGTTTGGTCAGTGAGTCATTATCTGGGAAGAATTATCTCACAACAGCACTTATGCAAAACCCAAACTTTTCAGGGGAGATAAAAAATGTCGCCCATTAAAATACACTTCCTGCCGTCGGAGCAGATTGGGGGTTACCGAACAACGATGTCGGCGCTTCCAGATTGGCTTGACAGCCTCATTGTTCTTGGCGGGTAAACCAGACGCACTTAAGTCCCAGGCTCGTTCCTAGGCTTTTGTTCGTACCAAATTATTCTTCCACTGTGCTAGCATTCATGAGGGCATGTTAAAGGAGTGCAGCTTAGCAACCGGCTTCCAGTTGCCAGGCAGCCCAGCTTCCAATAGATTTCCCTTGTTCAGGATACTTTTGGTGGGAGCTCCATGGAGGCCTTGGTGCAGGTTTTTCTTTTAACTGTATCCCTTTATGAAGATGCTCTTGTGATTTGTTACTTGCATTATGGTGTCAGTACATCACAGTGGTTAATAAATCACTAAGGGTAAAGCTCTGCTCTCAAACCCCCATCCTTTAATTCTAAATAATTGGACTCATGCATATCCATATTAATGGAAACATTTTTTTGAAATGGATAGAGCTTCATAAAGGAACAGATGCCTATAGCCCTCTCCTAAGGGATATTCATTTTTATCAATCGTGCAATTAGGAGCTGAGAGAGTTTGCTGTTTCTTTAAAGCTCCATGACTAATGGAACAATGGTATTAAAGTTACCTGTTTTCTTAGGGGAGAAAACCTGAGAAAACTCTCCTGTGGCTGTGTGTGGAAGTTCTACAACGGAAGGAATTTTCAGTGTGCAGTTTTCAAGCTAAGGGGTCCATAATCCAATATAACCACTGTTGTGTTAACCGTGCATAATACTTATTTCACTATGCAGACATACTTCACTCTCTAATTTAAAGTTACCAAATACACATTCAAAACTGTGACATCTCAGAAAAATAGTTTAGCATTTTTCTCTTAACATTTATATAATAGCTCCTTTCTGGTGTAAATAAGATATTGAAGAGCCTTAGAATAAAATGTTTTCCCAATTTTCTTTAATAGGTTATTTAAGTAGGTGTTCTATGACAGCCCCCAATTCATCTACTGCTAGCATGCTAATGTTTTCCTGGACTTAAAAAAAAAAGAAAGAAAGAACAAGGCTGTCAAGTCGATTCTGCCTCATGGTAAACCCTAAAGGACGGACTGGAATACCCCCATCGGGCATCCGAAGTTGTAATCCTTAGGGCAGCAGATGAACTTCCTGCTGCATGGTTCTGTGGAGTGGTGGGGGTGGGGGTTGTATTGACCCACCAACCTTTCAGTTGGAAGTCAAGCACCTAACAGTAGACCACATTCCACCGCTGGGGCATTTTAAGAGCAGACAGGCTAACAGGGACAAATTCTATCCTGTTGTGACATCGTCATGGCAGTGAAGCACAAGAAAAATCGAAGTGAACAGTAAAAAAACTTTTAAATGGGTGAAAATGAGAGAATGATGACTTTTTAGTCCACTGTCCCTAATAGCGGATGTAATGTATTTAGAACTTTCTGCTGAGAAATTGCGACTTAACTGGTGGGGCCCATGTGTGGCAGAGTGGAACTGCCCTGGGGGTGCCAGATGGACAGGCTTTTCTTCCAAGGCCCCTCTGAGTAAGTGGGTTCGAGCCACTGACCTTTTGGTTAGTTGTTGAGCACTTCACTGTTTGTGCCACCCAGGGACACCTACAAAACTCAAAATGCCTTAATCGCATAGTCTCGGTTATTTGCTGCTCATTTTTGACATGACATATTTAAATGTCCTGCTTTCCATACATCTGCGTAGAATTAAACCTCTCCTTCTGCCCCAGTGTCCCTGGTCCTGAATAAGGGTGGAGTGGTGTCAAAAGTCATATTCTGTTACCCTGTCCAGAATGTACGGAACAATTACTGAGCCGAAACTCTATTCATGTCTTGTTAATTTTATGACTGTTGTGTTGTCCGTTGGCTATTCTAGAATACGTGCTCTTTCGCTGTGGTATCTTGAGTGATGTTTTAAACTTTTTTAAATTCAGGATGCTTTTAAGATCCATTGGGACCAATGACAACGTTCAAGCACTAGAC